TTTTAGTAGAGACGGGGTTTCACCATGTTGGCCAGGCTGGTCCCGAACTCCTGACCTCAGGTGATCCACCCACCTCGGCGTCCCAAAGTGTTGGGATTATAGGTGTAAACCACCGTGCCCACCCAAAAGTCACTTTTTGGAGCTCGAGACTGAGTTCAAATCCTGCTTCTGCCAGCTGCTGTGTATTCCTGCGCAAGTGACTTAACCTCTGTGTTTCAGTTTTGTTTGTGAAATGGTGCTAATAGTAGTACCTATGTCACAGGTAGTTATGAAAATTGAATGTGTTAATATACTTAAAGCATATATGTGCCTAGACTGTGCCTGGCACAGTATGTTCATTATACGATCAATCACTATTGTTAATTTTGAAAAGCGAATGAGGCTCTTTCTCTCCTTATTTCCTTCCTTCCTCTTCCTGGACAATTCAGTCTTAAAGCCATTAGGTTTAACACAGAGAAGGGGGTGCTCAGAGTAGGGTGTTAGAACCCCAGCAGGGTGAGAAGGGTGTTCACACTAGGGGTGGCCTGGTGCAAAGTGTCATAGGCAAAGCAGAGTGATGGGCATCCCCTGCAGGGTCAGGGATGGGGTGGTGAAGGCCTGGCAGACACTGCCCTAAGAGTAAAGAAACATTATCAGCGATGGGGCAAATTGACATCGTGCACCACCTACCAGGATGCAGTGAGAAAAACACAGCATCACATCTTGTGCTATTTCTGCCTAAGATGCATAACCTGAGTCTAGTTGTGAGGAAACATCTGACAAACCCAAATGGAGGGATGGCTACAGAATAAGTGGCCTGAATCTTCAGAAGTATCAAGTTCATGCCAAGGAAAGACCAAGGAGCTGTTCCAGACAGAAGAGTTTAAAGAGACATGATCATTAAATGCCACACAGAATGATGAACTGGAATCTTTTGCTATAAATGATACTACTGGGTGAATGATGAAACTTGAATGGAGTCCAAGGGTTAGAGGATAGTCACATATTAATACCAATTTCCCAATTTTGATGGCTGTATGTTGGCTGTCTAGGAGAACTTTTTGTTTGTTTATTTCAATAGGTTTTTGGGGGAACAGGTAGTTGGTTACATGAATAAGTTATTTCGTGGTGATTTCTGAGATTTTGGTGCACCCATCACCCAAGCAGTGTACACTGTACCCAATGTGTAGTCTTTTATCCCTCAGTCCCCTCCTACCCTTTCCCATGAGTCCCCAAAGTCTATTGTATCATTCTTATGCCTTTGCATCCTCATAGCTTAGCTCCCACTTATGAGTGAAAACATATGATGTTTGCTTTTCCATTCCTGAGTCACTCCACTTAGAATAATGATTTCCAATTCCATCCAGGTTGCTGCGAATGCCATTATTTCATTCCTTTGTGTGGCTGAGTAGTAGTTCATTAGATAGATAGATTAGATAGATAGATAGATAGATAGATAGATAGATAGATAGATAGATGCACACACACATATATGTGTGTATATATATATGTGTATATATATGGTTTCATATTTTTGCAATTCTGAACTGTGCTGCTATAAACAGGCATGTGCAAGTATCTTTTTCGTATAATGATTTATTTTCCTCTGGGTAGATACCTAGTAGTGGGATTGCGGGATGAAATGGTAGTTCTACTTTTAGTTCTTTAAGGAATCTCCACACTGTTTTCCATGGTGGTTATTCTAGTTTACATTCCCACCAGCAGTGTAGAAGTGTTCCCTGTTCACCACATCCACGCCAACATTTATTATTTTTTGATTTTTTGATTATGGCCATTCTTGCAGGAGTAAGGTGGTATCGCATTGTGGTTTTGATTTGCACTTCCTTGATCATTAGTGATGTTGGGCATTTTTTCATATGTTTGTTGGCTGTTTGTATATCTTCTTTTGAGAATTGTCTATTCATGTCCTTAGTGTCCAGGAGAGGTTTTAAAAATCGCACCAAAGCATTCAGGGGTGATGAGGTATGAGGTGGCAATTACTTTCAAATGGTTCAAGAAAAATATTCTTTGTACTGTACCTGCAACTTTCCTGCACATTTGTAATTGCTTTAAAAAAAGGAAAAGGAAAAGGGGGGAAAAAGCCAATGATGTTCTGAGACTCGCTGCGCAGCCTGAGGACAGAAGGACTCATCCGCCTGCTCCATGAGCTATTGTTTCCTTGGAGCTGTAGCTGCTTTCTGGAGCAAGAAAGACATTGAATCTGGCTTTTCTTCAAGCTAGCTGCGAAATGGGGAGTCGGGGAAGCCTGGCTTGTCTGGATCAGGTGGCTGTGGGCTCTTCTTGGCAGCAGCTTGGGAGTTGCAGAGCGAGGGGCTAAACAAGGGCACCAGTGCAGCCATCAGTGTGCCTTGCCAGGGAGACCTAAAGCTGATCTCTGAGTTCTGGGGAGGTCTCCACTTCTTCCAGGTGGCTCCTGGAGAGCCAGGCCTCCCTGAAGTTACCTTGGCCTCCCAGCTTTTTTCGGCTGGGTGTAGGCGTGACAGCCCTGGCCGCCTCCAGCAGAGGGCGCGCTGCTCAATCTGTCTGGATCTCGGGGACCGTGCCCGGCAGGCACGCCCGTCACTCCTGGGGACATCTGTATGACATCCCCACTCCTCCGCTCTTTCTGCCATGGTTGCTGCCTGAAAAGAACTTTAGGAGCAACCTCTGACTGGGTAACTTGACTGAAATCGCTAAGCTACTCCAGAAGCAAGAGGCAAAGGCAGGTCTGAAGCTTGTGTGTGAGAAACCCAGTTTCTGACCCTTTTCTGTGGAGTTTTGTGTCCCACTGAGCGCTGAGAGCACTAAGTGTGGCCCATAAAGAAGGCTGCCCCTATCACAGGAAAGTCCTGGAATTGCACCTGCCCTTAAAGAAGAGTGTAGAACAGGTGGAGGAGTGATGACTATGCCAGCCAGCAAATCGCTGCTGCAGAAGAAGAAGGAATAAATAGAATGGACATCACGTGTGAATGTGAGAAACTTATGCTGTTTCTACAAAATGAGTATGAGGCTGTTCTTAAGTGTGTGCAGGATGAACATATAGATAGTTTTGCAAAACAAAATGAAAACCCCATAAAATGTGCACATCGTGTTTCCACACAAATACACCTACTGAGGGGGAGGAAAGGGTGTAGAGTCAGAGCTGAAACCAATGACAGATATTTTTATGGCAGGCATAAGCCAACAACAGATATTTTATAACAAGCATAAAAACCTAAAACACTTTTATCATTTGGGTTAAAGATGACTGTGGTCTTCCTCCACAATATTCTGACCTGCACGAAATTATCATGGTAATTCAGATAGATGTAACTCTAGATTCTCAATGTGTTGTCTCTGAGGAAGGAAATGTTGACAAAACACAACCTTCATCGTGACCCATGGGGTGACACTCTGCTGAGCTGTCCCAGCTTCTAAGAGATTTAACTCAGGCCAGCCGGAGGAGGTAGAAGTAGGAAACAAGCCCAAATCAATCACGAGGGCTTGTCAGGAACACAAGGAATCAGCTTTCAGTAGAAAATAGATTCTGGGCAGCTGGGTGATATGTTGAGAGAAATTATGTTACACTGGGTCCCAACAAAATCCAGCTTCTGCCAAAAGTGAGATCCAGCAAGACTGGCACGATACCAGACTATGAGTTGAGCAAGGTTTCAGTCTATAATTGGAATGTTAGATCTCATCATTGTTTTGGTTTTTGTTTGTTTGTTTGTTTTGAGATGGAGTTTTGCTCTTGTTGCCCAGTCTGGAGTGCAGTGGTGTAATCTCGGCTCACTGCAACCTCCACCTCCGGGGGTCAAGCAGTTCTCCTGCCTCAGCCTCCCAAGTAGCTGGGACTAGTAATGCGTGCCACCATGCCCAGCTAATTTTTGTATTTTTAGTTGAGACGGGGTTTCAGCATGTTGGCCAGGCTGGCCTTGAGCTCCTGACCTCATGTGATCCATCCACCTCAGTCTCCCAAAGTGCTGGGATTACAGGTGTGAGCCACTGAGCACCTGGTTTCATCGCTGTATTTTTGATGATTCTTTTAAAGAAGCTCTTTGGCCTTCTTTCTGTATTGGAATTGATCGTAATCCTCTTAAAATCTGCCTAGCAACAGATGAGGGATTAACTACCCAGAAGATGATCATGTTGTTTCATTTTCTTTCAGGTGTAAATATAACTCAGCCAGTAAATTTAGTCTCGATAATTTTGTTTTTGTTTTTACAGTTCTGCCTCTAAACACCAGAATAATTTCCCCCCACTTTTAACAATTATTTGCAAAAGCATATTAATAATACCAGTTTCATAGAGGTTATGAGAACCAATTCTAACAAGTCCAGCAAAATTTTTGACAAGGGTATTAAGACCGTGAAATGGAGAAAGAACAGTCTTTCCAACAGATAGTGCTGGGAAAACTGGATATCCACATGCAAAAGATGCAGGTGGACCCTTACCTTATACTAGCTGCATAAAGTAACTCAAAACAGATCAAAGGCCTAAAAATAAGAGCTAAAACTATAAAACTCTTAGAAGAAAACATAGAGGAAAACATTACAACACTTTGATAATGATTTCTAAGATATGACTTGAAAAACACAGGCAACAAAAGAAAAAGAAGACGTCAATCAGACTACATCAAAATTAAAAATTTCAGTGCGTCAAAGGACACAGTCAACAGAGTGAAAAAGTGACCTACAGAGGGGGAGAAAATATTTGCAAATCATATACCTGATAGTTAATATCCAAAATATATAAAGAACTCCTACAACTCAACAACAAAAGGAATAACCTGTTTAAAAATTAACTAGACAGTTCTCCAAAGAAGATACACATGCAGCTAACAAGCACATGAAAAGATCACTAATCATTAATCATTAGGGAAATGTAAGTCAAAACCACGATGTGATACTACCTTATACCCATTAGCATGGCTGCTATCAAAACAAAATAAAACAGAAAAAGTATTGGCAAGATGTGGAGAAATTAGAACTTTTGTGTACTGTTGCTGGGAATGTTAAATGGTGCAGTCACAATGGAAAACAAAATGGCAATTCCTCAAAAAATTAAAAATAGAATTACCATGTGATCCAGTATAATTCCATAATTCCACTTTGTGGGGTATATACCCGAAAGGATTGGAAGCAGGGTCTTGAAGAGATATTTTCTTACACTCATATTTATGAGTAACACTATTTACAATAGGTAAGAGATGGATGGAAGCCACCCAGATGTCCATCAACAGATGAATGGATCAACAAAATGCAGGATACAGATAGCAATGGACTATTTATTCTGTCTTAAAAAGGAAGAAAATTCAGACACATGCTACAACATGAAGGAACCTTAAGAACATTATGATAAGTGAAATAAGACAATCACAAAAAGACAAATATTGTATGATTCCACTTATAGGAGGTTCCCAGAGTAGTCAAAAGTTCATAGAGAAAGTAAAATGGTGGTTGTTGGAGGCTGGTGGGAGGGGAATGGGGAGCTACTGTTTAATGGGTGTAGAGTTTCAACTTTGCAAGATGAAGAATTCAGGAGATGCGCTTAATACCACTGAACTGTATATTTTTAAATGGTTAGATGGTAAGTTTCATTTTATGTGCATTTTGCCACAATTTAAAACTTTAAAAGGTAACAATTTAAAAACGAAGCAACAGAATGAGTTTCCATTTATTGACTATCATCGTGGCAAAGATAAGTAAAATTAACAATTCTGAGTGATGGAGAGGGTTAAGGAAAAAAGGAACTATATATCCGGTTATTGTATAACTTGTCTTGAGGGGAGCGATCTGAAATATGTTTATCAAAATGTCAAAAATGTCGCCCTTGACCAAACGAGGGGGCCTTCAGGTCCTGAACTTCTGGGCTATGTTTGTTGGCTCTGAGCGAACTCAGCTTCAAAAAACGCCCTGAGATGCTTACAAACCTTGGGAATGGAGGCTCACTGTCAAACCTTGGGAATGGAGGCTCACTATCAAACCTTGGGAATGGAGGCTCATTGTCAGTGTGGGTCCAACCTCGGCAGAACTGCCCGAAGCCACTGGGTTGAAATGAGAGTTGGCCAAAGAGTGTGTGGCAGGGCCCACAGGGTGCCTGCTGCAGGAGGGAGGGAGGACAATGGGAGCAGGTGCAGGCTTGGGTCTTGGGAAGAGGAATGCATTCCTAACTTATGACTTCTGTTTTCCCAATCCAGTGGGAAACGTCACCACCTGAGAGTGGAGACAGGGCAATTCTGAGGCAATTCTGTGGAGAGTTGCTCAGGCGGGCCAGCCTCTTGAGAAAGGACCAGGAGAGCTGGGTGGTTCTGAGGCTCTTTGGGGCTGGTGGTCCTGAGTTTTCAGTGGCTCCCTTCTGCGCAGTGTGGACTGGGCTTCAGTGGTTCTCAGTTGCACAAGGCAGGAGCAGAGGAGGCAGATGTTATGTTCAGCCCTGATACTGATGTGGATAATGTGGCTTTTGAGGACGAGAGGAGGCTGAGAGTATAAAGTGGTGACGGCAGGACCAGCCTCCACACAGGGCTGCGGTGAGGACAGAATGCCACTGTGTACAGAAGTGACAGCACAGTTCCCAGGTGCTAGACAAAGCTTCATACCATCCTACCTTCCCCTTCCCATCCCACCATCCCCTGAGAGCACGAAAGCTGAGATTCCTGGATGGAAGTGGAGTCACCCCCACAGAGGGCACCTGTCCTGTGGCAATGGGGGAAGTTTCAGGGTCCCCACCTGCTCCCCAAAGCCCTTTGCTTCACCACCTCCTTGCCCATTGCAGAGATTGGTGTGGGGATCACCGGTTTCGGCATCTTCTTCATCCTCTTTGGAACACTCTTGTACTTTGATTCCGTGCTCCTGGCCTTTGGAAACGTGAGTCCCCCAGCCATGTGTCCCCATTCCCCTGCCCCAACCTTTCTGAAGTCTCTATTGCCAGGATAGTCCTGGCAATAAAGACTTAAAGTTTATTTAAGTCTTTAAATAAATCCCTTAAATAAATCCCAAGTTTATTCAGACCATGCTTATCCAGGGGTCAGACATCATCAAGCCTGGGCGGAGGAGGGCACAGGAAATGGACGCAGAGCCTGTGGCACCAAGAATCTGAGGACCTGGATTCTCACACCGAGCTCTGCGGGAGACCCTGGGGGTTCTGAGGGGACTCAGACACTGTCCCTGCCATCTGAATCCCACTCTAGGGCTAGAGATATAACATGACATACATGGCTGGGAGTAAGAGAGGGGCCACGGTAAACACATTTAATATGAAACAAGGGGCTTAGTGGAAAGAGGGCACACTGAATTGGAGAAGGGTGGAGAGGAATTTGGAAAGGAAATGGATGTGGAGGTGAATAAAGCACTTCCAGAGGGGTTGGAACAGCAGGAGAGAAGGTCTGGGGGAGGAGCGGGGAAGCATGGGATATGCTGGAAGAAAACCAGAGAGTTCAATTTGACGACAGCCTGGGCACTCTTAAGGGATCATTAGGAGCCAAGCTGAAGACAGTGATAGGGTATCCAGGGGAGGGCCTGGAGGGTTATTCTGTAGGCGGTGGAGCCTCTGAAGGTTCTGTGTGACTTTCAGTATGGCTGCCTAACCTACTTAGGCCTCAATCTTCACTTCTCTGGAATAAAAATCCCACCTGATTCCATCTTCCCTAGATGGTATGGTGAGAAACCAAGTCCCATATGAAAAAGTGCTTGGGCTCCAGGGAATTGGGTGGGCAACTAGAAACCATCAAAAGTTTCTCATCCATCCCCCTGCCTCTGTGCAGTCCTGTTCCCAGCCAGCAAGACTTATCAAGGTTCTGGGATTCTGCCACATTGCTGGACGGCCCTCGTTCAGATGGTCTTAAAGAGTTAGCACGTCCTGCCTCTGCCCGCCACCTGGCTCCAGGCCTGTGCCCCCCAACTCCTCAGGGGGCTGGTGGGTTTGCTTCATGCTCTCCTCCCTTCCCTCCAGCTGCTGTTCCTGACGGGCCTCTCCTTCATCATCGGCTTGAGGAAGACCTTTCAGTTCTTCTTCCAACGGCACAAACTCAAGGGAACCAGCTTCTTCCTGGGGGGTGTGGTTGTCGTGCTCCTACGCTGGCCCCTCCTGGGTATGTTCCTGGAAACCTACGGATTCTTCAGCCTGTTCAAGTGAGTGCAAATCCCTCTAACCCTGGACAGATCCACCAAAGCATCTGAGTGGCTGAGATCACCCCAGCAGGCAGTGCAGAAGCTGGGACTTTATCCTGCAAGAGATGAGAACCATGGACACTTCGGAAAGGCCCCCTAAAGTAGGCTGAAGGGTACTTTGGAGGGATTAGCCCATCCATCAACAAATATTGATAGAGTGCTGACTGTGTTTCCAGCACTGTGCCTGTGAGCAGGGAGCAGACACGAGGCCTGCCCTCAAATCTAGCCGGAGAGGAAGGGCAGTGAGCTAACATGTTCCAGGCATGCTCATGATCATCATCTTATTTTATCGCAACAACCCACTCTAGGATTATCCTCTACTTCACAGATAAGGAAACCAACGCTCAGAGAAGTTGCCCCCGCCCCGAGGTCTGAAACTAGTATATGAAAAAGGTCGCCCTTGACCCAGGGGGCTCTGGCTCCTGACCCCTGTGTCATCCCCTGGCCTGACCTGTGTCAGCCCTGGGCTTGGGAAAAGGCAGGGTGGAACTCAGTCATGATGTGTGGCCACTGTCAGGCCTGTAGGCACTCAGAGGGGAGCCCAGGGTAGTGTCGTAGAGGAAGCAGGACTTGAGATAAGCCTTGAGGGATGGGTAGAGTCTAAGAGAAGACTGGAGGGTACTGAAGGAAAAGGAAGGAAGGGGTCTCAGAGAAAGTGGGGTTGGGAAGGAAGGCTTCATATCCTTCCTTCTCTACAGGGTAGTGTGGAGAGAATCGGGGTGGGATGGGGACAGTGGAGACTGGAAGAATGATGGCTTCTGCAATCATGGAAAGGAGTGGGGCTCAGGAATCCCTGGGTTCTCATAGGAGCCCCCGTTTGCTGAATGTAACCCTGAAACCCCCCGATTAGCCTGAATGGCCTAGGCCTCAGAGACTTCAGGAAGTGTGGCTTTAAATTTTCTCACGCATACCTGCCATCTATTTATTCCACATTCAAATATGTCATTTTATGCCTGGGCGCAGTGGCTCACGCCTGTGATCCCAGCACTTTGGGAGGCCGAGGCAGGCGGATCACTTGAGGTCAGGAATTCGAGACCAGACTAATCAACATGGTGAAACCCTGTTTCTACTAAAAATACAAAAAAAATTAGCTGGGCTTGGTGGCAAGCGCCTGTAATCCCAGCTACTCAGGAGGCTGAGACACAAGAATCGCTTAAACACAGGGGGCAGAGGTTGCAGTGAGAGAAGATCGCACCATTGCCTCCAGCCTGGGTGGCAGAGCGAGATTCTGTCTCAAAAAATATATATATATATATATATATGTGTGTGTGTGTGTGTGTGTGTGTGTATGTATGTCATTTTCAAACAGTCACTTATTCAAATTGTCAAATATATAATAAGCACCTCCTGCATGCCAAATACGGGCCAGGTGTGAGGATGTGGCACTGAATGAGGAGAAAGTTCCTACAGAATTTACAGTTTAGTAGGAAGATCCATAAATAAATTCTGACAACAGTTAGCATTTATGGAGGGCTTAGAAAGTGGAGTGGGACAGCAGCAGATCTGATAGTTGAAACTGAAAGTCAGCCTTGACAAAGACACTGTGCAGTAACACAGAAGGGGCAAACAAATTACAGCTATCAGGGACCTCAGAGTGCAGTGAAACCTTGGGAAATTGAGGCCCACGGTAAGGAAGTGGCTCAGCCAGAATCCATATTTCAAATCTCCCTTCCCATCCGCCACACACTGGGATCCCTTCTCATGCCAGCCTCAGCACCTCCAAGTCCTGTGAGGGGTCACGCATATGTCCACAGTCAGGCCTTGGCAGGGTATCTTTGATGAGAGCAGGATTGCCAAAGGCAGGGGTGGCTGTATGCCTGGGGGAGCCAGGGCACCAGTGAGTATAACGGTGAGCATGGCTTCCAACAGCCGCCCATGCCGAGGGCCCAGGACACCCGGGTCAGGTGGATCTCAGGAAGGTAAGAAAACTTTCGGCCAGAAGAGTAGTAATAATCATGACAGTAACAATAAAAATAAGCACTTCCTGACCTTTTCTTTGTACATGGCCTTACGATGTAGACACTGTTATTGTTAGCCACATTCTATGGTTGGAAACTGAGATTCAGAGAAGTTAAGGAATTTGCCCAAGTATATATGGTGCCAGTAAGTGGTAGAGCCAAGATGTGAACCCACCGAGTGTGACCCTAGGGCCTTCATTCTTAATCATGTCACTCGACTGCCTCTCGGAACACAGGAGTGCAGAACCAAGCCTGCCCCTGGTGCACGGAAGCCACAGCTTGAACCTTTTGGTGGACCTCAGCCTCCAGCCCTCTATCCTCCCTTCCTGGGCCATCACTGACTCCTCCCTTCTCCCCTCTGCTCCTAGGGGCTTTTTCCCTGTTGCCTTCGGCTTCCTGGGCAATGTTTGCAACATCCCCTTCCTGGGTGCGGTAAGCAGATGATGCCGGCATGCCCTGGGGAGTGAGGGGGAGCACACGGAGGGGAGCTGGTAAAACTGCTGTCCCAGGGGCAGTGGCCCCTCCCCTGTCTCCCCTCAGACTCCCTAGCCCAGGTTTGGTGCTTTAGGCTCCTCTTCCCCCTACACCTTCTCCATTTGACAAGAGCCCAAGAGGGGAGGGGATCCAGATGCAGTTGTAGCTGAGTGTGGCTGTAGACGAAGGTAGCTATGAATAGCTTCCTGTTTACAGCCAAAGAAATGAAGATGCAGAGACTCTAGGTGACTCAGTGGGGACATGCCTGAGATTTCTGGGATCTGGCTAAGTGCGGGCCCCAGGCATGGAGAGAATGTATGACAGCCGATGACAGCAGGAAAAGCTATCCTGTAGGTGACAGATTTTGTCCTCTCTTGGGGATAGACACAGCCAGTGGTAACCAGCCCCTGCCCCTCCTCATCCCTTTCTCTGAAGCACCTGGCAGAATGTGAGCTCTCTGAGGAGCCCAGGGAGACCCTACAGCCAGCACCCCACTACAACCGCCAGCTGGACATAGCCCCTGCAGCCCCTCTCATATCTGTGCCTGGCACAGCTCCTGGCTCTCAAGGCCAGCTCTGTAATAACTAGATATTGCATCTGCTCTCTACCTTTTGTCTGGAGTAATGATTCTTGGCTCCCACAGCTGTTCCGGAGACTTCAAGGCACTAGCTCAATGGTCTGAACAACAGAGATGAGCTCCTTGAACTTGGATCATTGGTTGAGGGGGCTGGAGAGAGAATGGGAACCACCCCCTCAGTCCCCCGCACTGACTCACTCCCGGTCATATCTGGACCTCCCCAAGTCCAGAAGGAAGGATGGAGCTGAGCAACTGACGTCAAATCCCCAAGTCGACTCAAGAGGCTGCCAGGAAGCAGAGACGCAGAGCCCCAAGGAGATTGGGCTGGGACTGGCATCACACCCTCACTATATATTTAAAGGAGGAAAAGTGAAGATTAAATTCCCAAGCTGTGTGTGTGTCTAGGGCTCAAAGTTGGTGTCTTTGGCCGGGCATGGTGGCTCACACCTATAATCCCAGACCTTTGGGAGGCTGAGGTGGGCAGATCTCCTGAGGTCAGGACTTCGAGACCAGCCTGGCCAACATGGTGAAACCCCATCTCTACTAAAAATACAAAAATTAGCCGGGCGTGGTGGCAGGTGCCTGTAGTTCCAGCTACTCAAAAGGCTGAGGCAGGAGGATTGCTTGAACTGGAGAGGTGGAGGTTGAAGTGAGCTGAGATCGTACCACTGTGTTCCAGCCTGGGCAACAGAGCCAGACTCCATCTCAAAAAAAAAGTTAGCGTCTTCAGCCCATTAAGTCCACCTCCTGCTTCAGGGCAGGCCAATGTACACGTCATCCCCATAGCGAAGTTTTGGTCTATGAGGGTCAGTGCTGTCCTCATAGGCTATTATTTCTGTCCTGGTGTTTAACAGCCCTAATGGGTGTGATAATAATAGGTTTGCAAGCCCTGTTAACAGTAAGCACCAGACAAGTGAGGAGTGCTAACCTGCAGACTGCCAGCATGCTTCTCCAGCATTAGGGGACCACCAGGTCGAGCTTGTGCTGGGAGAGCGTCCTGTCTGAGGGTAGAGACATAGCCCCTGCCTTCAGAGACTCCCAGCCTGAGAGAAGAAACAGTCCCTGCCCTGGAGAGCCCCTTGTCCAAGGGTATAGAGAGTTCCTGCAGGCTCAAGAAAGAGACAAAAGTCACTTGCGATGCATGCAGTTAGCAAATATCTATTGAGGGCCCTCTCTGTATGTGCGCAGCAATGGAGTGGGTGCCGAGGGTACAGGGGGAAGGGAGCCTGTCCCTGTCCTCAAAGTGCTGTACCTGAGCAGTCACAAAATGGTATGGTGGTGGGTGCCATGAGACAAGGAAGTGGGGCCCCCAAGCAGGCTGGCTGGATGTACTGCCACCTGGAAGTCCCCTCTCTGCAGCCCTGGCACTTCCCAGGTGCATCCACCTTCTAGAGCTCCCATTTCATCCTCCTTGCTCATAGCTGGCTGCTTACCTAAGGTCTCTGACCATGCCATAGCGTATTCACCTCAAAACCCTGTGCCGAGGAAGTGCTTAGTAACCAAGGAAAGAAGGGAAGCAGGAAGGAAGAAAAAAGGAGAGAATCTCTGCCACCTCCACCCGGCGCCAGTCACAGGGCCCAGTCTAGGAGCCGCCTGGAGACCCACGCTGACCCGGCTTTGAGGAGTCCCTGGGTCAGCCTGTGCCCTTCTCCTCCCCTCTTCCTGTCCTTTTCTACGTCTAATTCAGACTAGGTGTGATGGTGGCTCTTGTCAGAGAGGAAACAAGACATTTCACACTGACACCTCTCCCTGCCCTCCTCAAATAGCCCATTTCCATGTTGTTTGGGGGCAGGATGGGTCCTCTGGGTGGGAAGAGGGTGTGGAGGATGGAAAGAGCCTGTGAGAAGGAGAAAGTCCCGCCTCGGAGGGCTCGGGGGTGGGGTGGGAGGAGAGGCTGCCTCCAGTCACAGAGCCCGGAGGCAGAGGCCTGCCAAGGTGCTGTGCTCTCCAGGAGGGTCTGAGGAGGAGGGAGGGGCGGCAGAGTGGGCCTGTACTTAGAGACGTCACCCTGGGCTTTATAAAAGGAATGTGATCAGGGAGCTGGGGAGAGTGAGCCTGGGAGCCCAGCTACCCACCCTCTGGACGTTCACCCAGCCAGGTGGTCTCATCACCTCAGAGGCTCCGCCAGACTCCCGCCCAGGCCAGGACTGAGGTAAGGTAGGCACACTGCGGCGTCCACCCTCGGGAAGGGGGTCTGCCCTGACCTGGGGATGCTCCAGAGGGGAGCAGGGAATCCGTTCTAAGATGGACAGATGCTTCCGGGCAGGCAAAGGCAGGGGAGGGAGACGCTGATCTTTCCTGTTTACCGGCCTGGCCAGATTATCCTGGGATGCCTGGGTGAATACAATGAGTTGCACTTTATTTGTGAAGCTAGCACTCTGGGGATCCCAAGGGCTCTCTCTTGCTGTGGCTGGAATTAGAGACCACAGACACTCGGATGGACCTGGGGAACCCCTCAGGTCTCCCGAGAGCAATGGGGCTCCTCTGAGCAGCTCCCCTAAATTACGGATGGCAAACACAAGCCTCACCAAGGACACCTACCTACCTACCCACTAAGAACTAGGGGCCACCTCATTCCAAAAGCTTTCCAACCATGCCTGGAATTTCTCTGTTACTCACTGGATACAAGCCCCCCAGGGTGGAGGGAACCACGAAAATTGTCTACAGCAGGTTGGCCACTCATGGCCCCTTTCCAGATAATTCATTTCTACCACATATATCAAGTGCCCTGATGGGCTGGGCAGTGAACGAAGAGTTGAGGGAATCTGTGTGTATATGTGTGTGTGTGTGTGTGTGTGTGTGTGTGTGTATGATGTGTGTGTATGGGTGTATGCGTATATGTGTGTGATGTGTGTGTGCGCATGTGTGGTGTGTGTGGTGTATGTGTGTGTATGATGTGTGTGTATGGGTATATGTGTGTATATGTGTGTGATGTGTGTGTGCATGTGTGGTGTGTGGTGTATGTGTGTGTGTATGATGTGTGTGTATGGGTGTATATCTGTGTATTGTGTATGTGCATGTGCGGTATGTGTGGGGTGTGTGTGTATGATGTGTATGTATGGATGTATGTGTGTATATACGTGTGTGTATGATGTGTGTATGGGTGTATGTGTGTATATTGTGTGGTGTGCGTGCACGTGTGTAGTGTGTATAATGTGTGTGTATGGATGTATGTGTGTATGTGTGTATGTGTGTATGTGTGTGTGTGATGTGTGTGTATAGGTGTATGTGTATATGTGTGTGGTGTGTGTGCGTGTGTGGTGTGTGTGGTGTGTGTGTGTTTGGGTATAGGTGTGTATATGTGTGTGGTGTGTGTGGTGTATGTGTGTCTATGATGTGTGTATATGGGTGTATGCATGTAAATGTGTGTGATGTGTGTGCACGTGTGTGGTGTGTGTGGTGTGTGTGTATGATGTGTGTGTATAGGTATATGTGTGTATATGTGTGTGGTGTATGTGTGCATGTGTGGTGTGCGTGGTGTATGTGTGTGTATGATGTGTGTGTATGGGTGTATGCATGTATATGTATGTGGTGTGTGTGTATGATGTGAGTATGGGTGTATGTGTGTATATGTGTGTGGTGTGTGTGTGTGTAGTGTGTGTATGTGTGTATATGGGTGTATGCATGTATATGTATGTGGTGTGTGTACAAGTGTGGTGTGTGTGGTGTGTGTGTATGATGTGAGTATGGGTGTATGCGTGTATATGTGTGTGGCGTGTGTGTGAGTGGTGTGTGTATGATGTGTGTATATGGGTGTATGCATGTATATGTATGTGGTGTGTGTGCATGTGTGGTGTGTGTGGTGTGTGTGTATGATGTGAGTATGGGTGTATGTGTGTATATGTGTGTGGTGTGTGTGGGGTGTGTGTGTATGATATGTGTGTATGGGTATATGCATGTATGTGTGTGTGGTGTGTGTGCATGTGTGGTGTGTGTGGTGTATGTGTGTGGTGTGTGGTGTGTGTGCTGTATGTGTGTGGTGTGTGTGTGTGTGTGTGTGTATGTGTGCCAGGGTCAGGCAGAGTTCTCCCATGGCGCACATGGTAAGTGCATCCACAATGGGAAGGAGGCACTCGGGGGGGAAAGGGGAGCAGGAAGAAAGAGCACCACCCTCCAACCACACAAGCCCACTGCCCTCCTTCCTCGCCCACCACCCTGCTTCTGCACAGAGAACCAGAATGCTCCATCTGAAATGTACATCTACACACATTCCTGTCTGGCTCAGATCCCTCCAGGATGAAGCCCCCGCAGGGCCCCTTCCCCAACCTTGTCACTTGCTTTCTCTCCATGCAAAGCTCCACCCTCTTGTCTAGCTAGAGGGCCTGAAGTTCCCTTTCCACCCAGCCCCTGCCCCTGCTCCAGCACCTTAGCACCGTGCCTGGAACACTTTCTATAAACCTTTCAGCGATTCATGCTCAGAAACAGCTCAGGTGCCACCCCTGCCAAAAATCTGCCTGGACCCCCTAGGTCAGGTTCCCCTGGACTCCCATATCCCCTTGTGGATTCACATGCATCCAGTGTGTCATTTACAGTGTTATTTTGAAATGGTCTGCTGATGAGTCAATTTCTCATACTAGACTTGAGATCCTGGGGGCAGCAACTCCGTCTTAGCACACCTGTGCACCCCTAGCACCTAGCACAGCACCAGCACCTAGTCAGTGCTCAAGGAGTGATTTTCAAATCAACCCAGACCCTGTGCATCCACGGTCTGAAATGCTTTTACACTATTCTCTCCAATTAATTAATCCTACCTCTACTCCATGCCCCAGCTCTGGGCCTTAAGGCAAATGCAGAAAGCTGTGGTCTGGGTTTCAACTTGTCACAGAATCAAAATCTGCAAGGATAAGTAAACTTCTGAGCAGGCGGCTGGTGGCCAATCTGATCCAGGGTTCTTATTTTATAGATGGACCAATGAGGTCTGGAGATGGGGGTGACTTGCTCACATTTCACAGGGAATGAAAGCAGAGCTGGGGCAAGATTCAAGTACTCCTGATTCCATTTCAGGGTTCTTACTCTTTACTCCATGCCTGAGTCCTGCATGGTGAGGAATGGGGGGTGGAGGTGGGGGTGCAAGAGCAGAGAGATGCATGGGCCTGAGCCACCATTAGAAGCTGATGGGCACAAATGGTTCTCATTCCCCAGTCCCCCTTCCCCTGGGAGAGTGGCTCCAGGCTGTGAGTGGGGCCAGGACAATCTTTTTGCTCAGCTGGCAGTGCTCCTGCCTCCCCAGCATTTTGTCTTTAATCATGTTTGTTGGACAGTCTCAAAGTGTCTGGTGACTTTTTCAAAAAGAAATTAGTCTTGGGAGCTGGAAGAGGTGGGGCAGGACATGTAGGGGGTCAGTGGGGCAGAGCAAGGCAGGGTGATGGGAAATGGTGTGAGGATCAGGGCACATGGCTC